TGGTGGCCCGCCTCTGTTGGGGCGGAGTCTCTGCTGTGGCGGGTTGCCTTGGCAACGGCGGGCTGCCTCGGCATTGGCGGGTTGCCTTGGCAAAGGCGGGCTGCCTTGGTAATGGCGGACGCCCCTCCCCCACAGAGCTGGACTGTCCCGGGTTCAGCTGTGCTTGCTGTGAAACTCTCAATCCAGAGTTTCTGGTTGCTGTTCTTTTGTGGGGGTGGGGCCAGCCGAGCCTGATCGCCTGGCTCCCTGCCTCAGAGCCTTTTATAAGTTGGTGTTCCAGTTGCCTATTGAAGAGGCGCCGGGGTCTGTTTGTTTTCCCCTGCGGCCACTCACTGCGCTGGCTTAAACAGCGGCACTGAGGTTTGTGGTGCTTTTTTTTTTTTTGCCCTGGAATCTACTGTCCTGGTTCTCTGCTCAGTCCCCTTTTTGAACTGGCGTATGGGCGACTTCCCATGGCTCCAATCGCCAGCCAAAAGGGCCCCCGGACCGGTGTTTTTTGTACGGAGAACCGCGGCTCCGGGGCGCCGACAAAGCAGCCGCGCGGGGCAAAGCAGCGGCGCTGGCCGGCACAGCCGCGCTGGCCGAAACAGCCGTGCTGGCGACCGTGGAGCACCTCCGCCCGGGAATTTCCTAGCCTGTGGGCAATAAAAACGCGGCGTCCACTCACCCTCTGCGCTTTCACTGGGAGCTGCAATCCTGAGCTGTCCCTAAATGGCCATCTTGGATCCTCAGGACCCTAAGTTGCACTCTTAAGAAGTGGGGATGAGGCCAGGTGCAGTGGCTCATGCCTGTAATCTCAGCACTTTGGGAGACCTCCTGGCCAACATGGTGAAACCCTGTCTCTACTAAAAATATAAAACTTAGCCAGGCTTGATGGTTCGTGCCAATAATCCCAGCTACTCAGGAGGCTGAGGCAGGAGAATCACTTGAACCTGGGAGGCAGAGGTTGCAGTGAGCCAAGATCGAGCCACTGCACTCCAGCCTGGTAACAGAGTGAGACTCTGTCTCAGGGAAAAAAAAAAAAAAAAAAAAAAAAAACAGAAGTGGGGATAAGACCAACAGCCATAGGCAGTTGGAATTTCTGCTTCCTCCACTATAACTACCATTCATTTTATTTACTTTCCCCACAGCTGGTGTCTCATCTGCTTTAAATTGGGGGTGGGGGGTGGAGATGTTGCTAGCAGGCATAAAGTCACAATTAGTATCAAAAGAACCCAAATTGGAGCTGTATCCAAAATAGGAGCATATCTCACATGGTAGCGCATGTATCAGGAGGGTGACTGAGAAAAGAAGGAAGGTCATTTGATAGATCAAAAAAACATTTCAATTAAACTTCCAAGAGAGAAATGTGTCCTTCTTTCAGAAAAACTTTCTACCCCATTAGTTACTGGCCCTCCTGTTCATTGTCAACACTCCTAACCTCCAGTCTCCTTACCCTATCTTTGCCTACACCATTTTCCATCATTTTTATAATGAGTTCTCACTGTATTACTTTCCTTGCCCATCACTTCCTTTATTCTCCTTGCTTTCTACCTTTTTCTTTAATTATTATCTTTTCCCTTCAATACTCAGGTCAGTATGTGTGTTGGCTTCTGACTCCTGCCACCCTTCTTGTGTGGTATGTTCTGTGTGTTAGGTTCTTTTCTTTGCTTCCTCATTTGTCTCAAGATATTCTGATCTTTACTATGATCAAAATGAATTGTTTAAGAAAATCAATATCATGCTTTCCTACAATTACAGTAGGTTGAACTAATTTTACTTTTATATTCTTGGAGTAGATAAGTCTTAATTGCTGTTGTAGTTTAGTCAAGTATTAAAATTTCACACTTTGAAACAGAAAGTCCTTGCCCTCTGTATTTTTCCAGACCCTCCTTCTCTCAGAGTCTTTCCTCATCCTCTGCCCTATGTTGCCAGAGAATGACCCTGGGAATTTATCAGTCAGCCTTGTCAGCTGGCTTCTGTATGGGTTCAGCCAGTGGGAGAGGAAGCACTGGTAGGATTTTGGAGGTCAGGAAAAAGAGAAGCTCCAGTGTTCAGGCTACCTCTCTCTGTCTTGTGGGGTATCTCTGGTGGTGATTGCAGCTTTTGTCTGGCTCCAGTTCCCACCAGACAAGCCTACTGTGATTCCAGTATCCACTGGTGACCCTAGCCTCTGGGTTCTGTGATACCGCTGTTTCCTTTTGTTCCTCCAATCTAGGGGAGTGGTAATCTCTAGTTTGCCTTGCCTTTTTGTCTCATGGTTGGCTTCTCAGCCCTTCCATCACTTTTATTACTAACTCCTGTTAAATTCTCTCTTGTTTAAATACTTAGAATGCTTTCTATTTTTCCAGTAAGACCTTGATTGATATACCCTTTAAGAAAGAAATTATAAGAGAAGGAAAAATAATTAGATACAAAAAAGAAAGGGAGAAGAAAAGGGGCAAAATGATAAATATAAAAAGGTAAATATAAAAAGATAAATACGAGGCTGGACACAGTGGCTCATGCCTATAATTCCAGCACTTTGGGAGGCTGAGGCTGGTGGATCATGAGGTCAGGAGTTCGAGACCAGCCTGGCTAACATGGTGAAACCCCATCTCTACTAAAAATACAAAAAAAAAAAAAAAAAAAAAAATTTAGCTGGGTATAGTGGCATATACCTGTGGACCAGCTGCCTGAGAGGCTGAGGCAGGAGAATTGCTTGAACTCAGGAGACAGAGGTTGCAGTGAGCCGAGACCATGCCATGGCACCCCAGCCTGGGTGAAAGAGCAAGAATCCATCTCAAAAAATAAAATAAATATAGAAAGGAACATAGGGCCGGGCACGGTGGCTCATGGCCGCAATCCCAACACTTTGGGAGGCCAAGGCAGGCAGATTGCCAAGGTCAGGAGTTAGAGACTAGCCTGGCCAACATGGTGAAATCTGTGTCTACTAAAAATACAAATATTGGCTAGGCATGGTGGTGCATGCCTGTAATCCCAGCTACTCAGGAGGCTAAGGCAGGAGAATCACTTGAACCCAGGAGGCAGAGGTTGCAGTGAGCCAAGATCGTGCCATGGCACTCCAGATTGCAAGACAGAGCGAGACATTGTCTCAAAAAAAAAAAAAAAAAGAAAAAAGAAAAGAAACAGGAACATAGGCTGGGCACTGTGGCTCATGCCTGTAATCTCAGCACTTTGGGAAGCCGAGGCAGGCGGATCACCTGAGGTCAGGAGTTCAAGACCAGCCCAGCCAACATGGGAAAATTCTGTCTCTACTAAAAAATACAAAAATTAGCCAGGCATGGTGGTGTGTGACTGTATTCCCAGCTACTGAGGTGGCTGAAGCAGGAGAATCACTTGAACCTGGGAGGTGGAGGTCGCAGTGAGCAGAGATCACCATTGCACTCCAGCCTGGGCAACAAGAGCAAAACTCCATTGCAAAAAAAAAAAAAAAAAAAAAAGAAGGGAACACAGAAGGGGCAGAAAGAATTGAAGAGAATGGCTTGTGGACAAATCATGTAATGAAGCTGTGATAATCCATTTGTTTTTTTCTCTTGGCTCCACATACAGGTGGTGTACAGATCCTGCCTTAATAAACTGTTTGAAGCAAAAAAACGCCGTGGTCAGGTTGGTTTGACTACTTAATCCTTTCTCCCTCATCCACAAGTTGTGATTCCTAAAGTAGTTGGTTTGTTGAGTATGCTTTCTAGACTGCTTTCTTTATTCTCACTCAGTACAGTGTTCCTGCATTTCTGTTAACGTCTTTGACAGAATTCAGATTCTCCCTACAATTGTTTTTTTTTTTTTTTTTTTTTTTTTTGAGTATTTGTCTTTTTTCTCTTTGTGGAAGTCAGCAGTTCCTCTTGAAAGAATCTTTTTTTTTTTTTTTTTTTGAAACAGAGTCTTGCTCTGTCTCCAGGCACCAGGCTAGAGAACAGTGGCGCGATCTCGGCTCACTGTAACCTCGTCTCCTGGGTTCAAGCCATTCTCCTGCTTCAGTCTCCTGAGTAGCTGGTACTGCAGGCCTGCACCACCATGCCCAGCTAATTTTTGTATTTTTAGTAGAGACGGGGTTTCACCATGTTGGCCAGGATGGTCTTGATCTCTTGACCTCGTGATCTGCCCGCCTTGGCCTCCCAAAGTACTGGGATTATAGGCGTGAGCCACCACGCCCGGCCAAGAGAATCTTTTTTTAAGCTAGCATGTGCCTGTCAAAAGGCAAAGGTGGAGGAGGCATCATGGAGCTGCTGGTATGTTAACTTCACAAGGTAGCGGGTTACAGTATTTCTATAAGCCACTTTTGTTTTCTTTGTTTTTTTTTTTTTGTTTGTTTTTTGTTTTTTGTTTTTTTTTTTTAGAATAAAGCAAGGTATAAATAGAACCGTATCTATGTCCTTAGAAACTACCTTAAAAACTTTTTTTCAGCCCTCCAATCTCCTTTAAGTTATGGCTCTAACAAAATCTACCTCTTTCTTTCTTTTTTTTTTTTTTTCCCCCAGACGGGGTCTTGCTGGAAATTGCGCCTCCTGACGAGCTGCAGTTTTGGCTCACTGCAGCCTCCGCCTCCTGGGTTCAAGCGATTCTCTTCTCTCAGCCTCCTGAGTAGCTGGGATTACAGGCATTCGGCACCACACCCTGTTAATTTTTTGTATTTTTAGTAGAGAAGGGGTTTCACCATGTTGGTCAGGCTGGTCTCAAACTCCTGACCTCGGCAGTTTGCCTGCCTTGGCCTCCCAAAGTGCTGGGATTACAGGCATGAGCCACTGTGCCTGGCCACAAAATCTACCTCTTTCTTAAATACCAATTTAAATGGCACCTCCTCCATGAAGCCTCCCCTAATATAGTCTCTCTCCTAAGTGTCCACTTGTTTGCACCCAGAATAACTGACCAATAAGAACTGCACAATATCTTTTTTGTGTCCCCTCCGAGGGACTGACTGGTATTGTATACAGTGTCTAATTTTACTCAGTTGAATTGCGTCAATAAACAAGTGGAGGAATTGACTCCTGGCCTTAAATACCAACATTAGAATTGCATTTTTCTGTGGATAAAGCAAACATCAAGACAGTATATATTTCCTTCTTTTCTCATCTTCCCTCACCCCCGAACTCCTTTCACCTACACTGTAAATGTGCATCTGGTGCTTTCACTTGTAATACAACTTTAGTGATTTAGTAATAATAGATCCAGCCCCTGTGCTCAGATGTAGCAGGAGTCACATCACTAAGAAAAGAAAGATCTTCAAGTAGAGAAAACAGAAAAGTTTAAGATATGAATATATATTTTTGGACTGTTAATCTCACACAATTATTCCATTTCTTTTTTTTTTTTTTTTTTTTTGAGACGGAGTCTTGTTCCGTCTCCCAGGCTGGAGTGTAGTGGCATGATCTCGGCTCACTGCAACCTCCACCTCCCGGGTTCAATTGATTCTCCTGCGTCAGCCTCCCACATAGCTGGGACTGCAGGCGCCCACCATCACACCAGCTTGCTTGCTTGCTTGCTTATTTATTTATTTATTTATTTGTATTTTTAGTAGAGACAGGGTTTCACCATGTTGGCCAGGCTGGTCTTGAACTCCTGACTTTGTGACCCTCCCACCTCGACCTCCTGTAGTGCTGGGATTACAAGCGTGAGCCACCTTGCCTGGCCAATTTTTCCTTTATTTCAAGTCATTGTATACCTTTTATACATCTGCTATTTCCCCAGCATGGTACTGAAATACTCTGGAAAATTTAAAAGAAGTAACATAGCTTTTGATCATGAGTAATCTACAATCTAGTTATGAACATAAAATTTAAGACATTATAACATAAAGTATAATGAAGTATGGAATATACCATTAGTGCTGTAGAAATTTAAAAAGGAAGATAGTTAATGAGGCAAGGTTAGTCTGTGAGATCATTTTTAGCTGAGCATAGAAAGAATTATAAAATTTAAGCCAGGTACAGTAGCATGCACCTGTAGTCCCAACTACTGAGGAGGCTGAGACAGGAATATTGCTTTAACCCAGGAGTTCAAGGCTAGCCTTGGCAACAGAGTGAACCCTGTCTCTACTAAATAAATGTTTCGGTTGCCCTAAATATACGCAGCTGAGTTGAAGATGAAAAGAATTTCAGAATTTAAATTGATTGGGGCTGGGCGTGGTGGCTGATAACTGTAATCACAGCACTTTGGGAGGCTGAGGCATGTGGATAACCTGAGATCAGGAGTTTGAGACCAGCCTGGCCAACATGGTGAAATCCTGTCTCTACTAAAAATACGAAAATTTGCTGGGTGTGGTGGCAGGTGCCTGTAATCTCAGCTCCTGAGGCATGAGAATTGCTTAAGCCTAGGAGGCGGATGTTGCAGTGAGCCAAGATCGCACCACTGCACTCCAGCCTGGGGGATACAGTGAGACTCTGTCTCCAATAAATAAGTAAATAAATTGATTGATTGATTGGGGTTTGAGAAGAGAATTTCACATTATTCAGATGATCTTTGCCAAGACATGCAAGCAAGGCTTTTATTTTATCTAGTTTGGTGAGAACAAGTAACATTTGCAAGCATGTATTAAGTACCAAGTATACTGTGTTTCTCCTCAGTATCTCATTTAGTCCTCAGCAGCTCTATAAGTTTTCTTAATGCTAATATTCATATTTAATTTAACATTTCTTAATATGAGCCTTTTAATTGATCAGTTCATTTAATGTAATTTTTTTCTCCCTCCCTTCTCCAAAACCTGATTTGATTGTGGGCTCATGATTGTAGTATGGTATATTGTATCCCTAGTTTACAGACAGTTTTTTTTTTTTTTTTTAAGTAGCATTATCTGTAATAGTCAAAAGGAGGCAACAACCTAAATGTCCATCTGTGGATAAAGGAATAAACAAACTCATATATACATACAATGGAATATTATTTAGTCAAAAAAGGAAAAAAGTAATGGCACATGCTACAGCTTGAATAAATATTAAAAACATGCTAAGTGAAAGAAGCCAGACACAAAAGGTCACATACTATATGATTCCTTTCATCTATAGGCTTAGGTTCAAAGACTTATGAAGTATTAGAGAATGTAGGATTTGTAACCAGCTCTGTCTAATTTCAAAGGCTGTGTTCTTAACTCTACTACTTTATGTTACTTTCCTTTACAATATAGAAATCTAGCTAGAACAGTTTAGTCCTAGGAAGTAGTGGAAATTAAGTTTGGAAAGAAATCCAGCTTATGAAAGATTTGGAATTATATGCTGAGAAGTTTGGATTTGATCAAGCAATAATGGGAATTACTTTGGATTACAAATGTGTATCCTTTTGTTATTTTTAAGACTCTTTTTCTATCACCTTGGTCAGTTTTTGATTTGGGCTTATTTACTCGAAAATAAAATTGCTTTTTAAATTACATTTGTAGGTACCCTAGAAAAAGAAATAGTTTGATAGAACTTCCTGATGACTATAGCTGCCTCCTGAATCAAGCTTCTCATTTCAGGTAAGGAGAGTATGTGTATATAAGTGTATAATTTTAAATTGTTTTCTGAACTTGCAATTGGTATACACCATAACTAACATACTTTTTGTTGTTGTTGTTTTGTTTTGTTACTTTTTTATTACTTTTTATTTTTTAAAGACAGGGTCTTGTTCTGTTGCCCAGGCTGGAGTGAAGTGATGTGACCATAGCTCACTGCAGCCTCAAACTCCTGGGCTCTTCCCACCCCAGCCTCCCAAGTAGTGAAACTACAGGCAGGCGCCACTGTGCCCTGCTATATTATTTTTTGATTTTTAGTAGAGATCAGATTTCGTTATGTTGCCCAGGCTGGTCATGAACTCCCAGGCTAAAGTGATCCTCCTGCCCTTGGCCTTCCAAAGTGTTGGGATTACAGGCATGAGCCACTGCACCTGGCCACAAACCTCCTTTTTTAACGGTGACCTCTGAGTGTCCTTCAAAACAACGACTGTCAATTTGTTTTTGATTGAGGGAAAATCCACATAACATGCAGTTAATCATGATAAAGTGTACAGTTCAGTGACATTTAGTGTATTCATAATATTTTTCAACTACCTAACCTCTTTAGTTTGCAAACTTTTTCATCACCCCAGTGAAATACTTGTATTCACTAATCGCTTCCTGTTCCCCTCATCCCCTACCCCATGGTAATCTGTAATCTACTTTCTGTCTCTATGGATTTGCCTATTTTGGATATATTATATGAAAGGAATCATACAGTATGTGACCTTTTGTGTCTGGCTTCTTTCACTTAGCATGTTTTTAATATTTATCCAAGTTGTAGCATGTGTCATTACTTTTTTCCTTTTTTGACTAAATAATATTCCATTGTATGTATATATAAGAGTTAGTTTATTCCTTCATCCATAGATGGAATTTTAGGTTGTTTCCTCCTTTTGACTATTACAGATAATGCAACTAAAAAAAAAATACTCATGTACAAGTTTCTTTATGGACATAACATTTTCATTTCTTTTGGACATATGCCCAGGAATAGAATTGCTGAGTCAGACAGTAATTCTGTGTTTAACTTTTTGAAGAGCTGTCAAACTGTTTTCCACAGCGGTTGCACCATCTTATGTCCCAACCAGCAATGTGTGAGGGCTCCTTTTTCTCACATCCCTGCTAGCCTCTCAGTGAACCACCTGAGAGATCTAAACATACAACCTCAATTTTTGGAAGACAGGTCTCTATTGTCTACGCTGGCAGAAGCAAGCCACACCAGAAAAACAAGCCATCATCCCCATGGCTACCTGGCGTGGGGTTTGGAGATAGAGGATGCTAACCACTACACAAAATGCCAAAACTCACCAAAATTTACCAGTTTCTTCCTTTATCAAGCGTTCCCCTGGATGCTGCAAGTATTTGACCAGGCTCCAGAGTTCCAAAATAGTTGCTTCAGGCCAGACATGGTGGCTCACACCTGTAATATCAGCACTTTGGGAGGCCAGTGTGGGTGACTCAGTTGAGGTCAGGAGTTCAAGGCCAGCCTGGCCAACAGGGTGAAACTCTGGCTTTACTAAAAATACAAAAATTAGCTGGGCATGGTGGGGTGCACCTGTAATTCCAACTACTGGGGAGGCTGAGGCAGGAGAATCACTTGAACCCAGGTGGCTGAAGTTGCAGTGAACTGAGATCATGCCACTGCACTCCAGCATGGGGGACTAAGTAAGGATACTCTGTCTCAAAGATAAAAAGTTGCTTCAGACAGTTCTTGCTGGCTTAATAGTTGTTTTATTAGAGTGACTGATTCCTGGAGCTCCCTACCCTACCATTTTCTATGATATCACTCCTTAATCTTCCTTTTTTTTCTTTCAAGCCACAAGAACCCTTATTAAACAAAGTCTTACATGGAAATCTATTAAACAGCAAAACAGGTAATAGCATCATGACTCAGGTTCAAGCTTGAAGAGTGGAGTACACCCCCTCAGGCTTTTTTAGCACCATCTCCCTCACCTCCCACCTCTATCAAAACCACTCTGAAGCAGTAGTTCCCAAACATTTTTCTCTCTTTCACCCCTTTCACTGATGATTTCAAGTGGAAAAAGAATTAGACAATAACAAGACTGGTGAAAACAAAATAGACAAGTTAACAATATATAGTACTTATTATTAACATCATGTGTGAGTTACCTATTAGTTACTTCTGTAAGAGAGCATAAACCTAAACATGTTTCTATATGATAAAATAATATCCTATAGCTTAAAAATAATTTTGTATCTTACTATACTCACCTTGCTATAATATGTTGTAAGTTATTTGAGTAGCATGAATCGTGACCACCACCAGTGAGATGTCACTGAATGGAGGAATTATATTCACATCTGCTGGTGGTGTAAATACTTCATATTTGAATCATATTGCATCATGTCTTGGAAATACTAAGCCAAAACTTCTGCTGATATAACTGTGTGTTCTGGACACTCAGGAGGCATCATGTCACCTCCCATAGCAAACCACATTGATAATGATGACATGAAACGAGTAGTAACTTGTAATTAAAAGACAAGAATATCAGTAGCCTGAAAATCAAAGTCTATTCAAGACAGTTGATTTACTAGTACCTAATCATCCTTTCTCAAAATTGCAGGAATTCCAAAGCTCCTTTAAGAGTTTTGTAATGTTGCCAGGCACAGTGGCTCACGCCTGTAATCCCAACACTTTGGGAGGCTGAGGCGGGTGGATCATGAGGTCAAGAGATCGAGACCATCCTGGCCAACATGGTGAAACCATGTCTCTACTAAAAAAAAAAAAAAAAATTAGCCGGTCGTGGTGGCACATGCCTGTAATGCCAGGTACTTGGGAGGCTGAGACAGGAGAATCGCTTGAACCCAGGAGGTGGAGGTTGCAGTGAGCTGAGAAAGTGCCATTGCACTCCAGCCTGGGCAACAAGAGCAAAACTCTGTCTCAAAAAAAAAAAAAAAAAAAAAAAAAAGTTTTGTAATGTTACTAAGCATTATGCAGCAGCCAGACTTCTTAATAAAATGCTTAAATTAATTCAAGATCTCAGTAAAGACATATAACTCTGAAATTTTGTTTTAAGGATACCAGTTAGTAGCCATAACTAACTGCTTTCATGTAGTAGTCCTTAGTTATATGTTAAATAATTTGCCATGATTTTAAGGAACCCAAAAAAAAGGATTGCAATTTAAGATTTTTTTTTCTTTTTCTTTCTTTCTTTTTTTTTTAGGCAGACTCTTGCTCTGTCACCCAGGCTGGAATGCAGTGGCACAATCTTGGCTCACTGCAACCTCCGCCTTCTGGGTTCAAGCAGTTCTCTGCCTCACCCTCCTGAGCAGCTGGAATTACAGGCACCCGCCACCACATCCAGCTGATTTTTGTATTTTTAGTAGAGACGGGGTTTCATCGTCTTGGCCGGGCCGGTCTTGAACTCCTGACCTTGTGATCCACCTCCTTTGGCCTCCCAAAGTGCTGGGATTACAGGCGCAAGCCACCATGCCTGGCCAGTGTAAGATTATTTTAAGGCTAGGTGCAGTGACTCATGCCTGTAATCCAAACACTTTGGGAAGCTGAGGTTGGCGGATCACTTAAGGCCAAAAGTTCAAGGCCAGCCTGGCCAACATGGAGAAATCCTGTCTCTAGTAAAAATGCAAAAAGAAAATTAGCCAGGCGTGTTGGCAAATGTTACTGAGTAGTCCCAGCTACTGAGGCACGAGAATCACTTGAACCTGCAGGCACAGGTTGGCAGTGAGCCAAGGTCATGCCACTGCACTTCAGCCTGGGTGACAGAGTAAGACTCTGTCTCAAAAAAAAAAGATCATTTGAGGCCTTAAAGAGCCCCTCTTTGACTCGCTCTGAGAATCACTGCCCTGCAGAATGACTCAAGAAATTATCTTATCTAATTATAACAATTGTTTTAAGCCACGAAGTTGGGGGAGTTAAGTGGTCCAGTAGGGTCTTGAGTAGCTCACAACCTAGCCACCATTACAGGATAAAATTGACCTTCATGTTCTAGCTCCCTTTCTAGTCAGCCATCTAAAGGAATGGTTGGGTCACTTTACCTTTCCGCCCTCAAACAGCTAATTAATTTCAAAGATTGCATCCAGCTCTAAATTCAGCAATTCTCCTAATCTTGGGGCCACATTGTTACCACAAAAGCCTGGTGAATAGATATTATCTTCCAGGCATTAAGAATAGCAGGTTGAGGCCGGGCGCGGTGGCTCAAGCCTGTAATCCCAGCACTTTGGGAGGCCGAGGCGGGTGGATCACGAGGTCAAGAGATCGAGACCATCCTGGTCAACGTGGTGAAACCCCGTCTCTACTAAAAATACAAAAAAATTAGCTGGGCATGGTGGTGCGTGCCTGTAATCCCAGCTACTCAGGAGGCTGAGGCAGGAGAATTGCCTGAACCCAGGAGGCGGAGGTTGCGGTGAGCCGGGATCGCGCCATTACACTCCAGCCTGGGTAACATGAGTGAAACTCCGTCTCAAAAAAAAAAAAAAAAAAAAAAAAAGAATAGCAGGTTGGCGGAGTACGGTGGCTCATGTCTGTAACCCCAGCACTTTGGGAAGCTGAGGTGGGTGAATCTCTTGAATTAGGAGTTCAAGACCAGCCTGGGCACCATGGCGAGACCCCGTCTCTACGAAAACATATAAAATAATTAGCTAGCTGTGGTGGCATGTGCCTGTAGTCTCAGCTACTTGGGATGCTGAGGAGGGAAGATCGCTTGAGCCAAGGAGGTTGAGGCAGCAGTGAGCCGTGATTATGCCACTGTATTCCAGCCTGGTTGACAGAGCCAGACCATGTCTCAAAAAAAAAAAAAAAGAAGAAGAAGAATATCAAGTTGCTGGCTTCTAGGAGGATATGAGGAGAGCACTGGTCTTTATTCATCACAGGGAGGATCCTTCTGGATGATATTACTACTTACAGGTTTCACGTAAGAATGAAGATCACAATCCTATGATGTCTTCCAGTTTTATTGTCACCACTAGTTTCCATAAGACTGAGCCATCCCTAGTGTTGGAGGGTGGCTGCTCAGTGCTATACTTTAGGCTGCCTCCCCACTCTTCCTCTGTAGGCTGGCTAATGACTCCATCCTGTATTAAAGATGAAAGAAGATGTTGGCTTTATCCAAAAAGGGCTATAATTATGTTCTGGAGCAACCTCCTGGAAGTAAAAATAGTCCTCTCATCGTATGCACAGAGTTCCTCTGCTCCTATGAAGACAAAGGTGTTTTTGGATTGGTTTTTTTTTTTAATCCTGTCTGAGAAACTGGGAATCAGAAAAAAAAGCTGTCGGTACCCTATTGGAGATTCTTTCTGATGTTCTTTATTATGATGCCACTGTGGGCCTAGTTGGATCTCTGCTTTGGTTGCATTTATCTTCTACTGTCCAAATTAAGGAATGTGGTATTTCCCTTTGTGTTCAGTGTACAGCATAGATTGGAGGAGCATGGGAAACTCCTTTTTAAACAGTAACCATTATCCCCCTTGGTGTGAGGGCATTGTGGCAAGTCTCCATCATACCACTGTGTAAAATGGTCTCAAAACACTAGTTGACTCAAGCAAGTCAGCACTATCACTTTTTCCTTCCTAAGACTTCAGAAGGCATATTCAACCACCATACTTTATGAGAATTATCAGGACACCATTTATGTAATATAGATTTTCTTACTATATTAATTGGATTTATTGGATGGTTTTCCATGAAGCCCGCCCTGTTAGGGGACATATTAAACAGGAGTTAGCTAATTAAATGTTACCTTGTGTTTTAGAGCTTCCTTTGCTGGGAAGGGGTCAGTGATGAAAACATGTTTGATTGCTAACAGGATATATGGTGCTTTTTTTTTTTTGTTTGTCTTTCCACTGTTTTCTAAATGTTTTCTTCCCTTTTGAGGTGCCCACGGTCTTCAGATGATGAGCGAAAGCATCCTGTCCTCTGTCTTTTCTGTGGGGCCATACTATGTTCTCAGAACATTTGCTGCCAAGAAGTCGTGAATGGGGAAGAGGTTGGAGCTTGCATTTTTCACGCACTTCACTGTGGTGCCGGCGTCTGTATTTTCCTAAAGTGAGTAGTGAGTGTTCTAGAAGCTTCATGATGAACTTAAGGAATCTGGATCCAATCTGGGGACCACTATGGTGGGACAGTGTGTTGATAGCAGATGATCTATCAGAAATTAGAGTGTTAACCTGTTATTCACATGAAATTGCATTTGAGGCTGGGTGTGGTGGCTCACTCCTGTAATCCAAGCACTTTTGGAGGCCAAGGCAGGTGTTGGGAGTTCAAGACCAGCCTGAGGTTGGTAGTTCAAGACCAGCCTGACCAACATGGTGAAACCCAGTCTTTTAAAAAAAAAAAAAAAGAGAGATTGCATTTGAGAAGATACTGTGGGAAAAGTAGTGAAAGAAGAATAGATTTCTGTTCACATTTCCATTATTTGTGGAAAATCTTAAATAGGATAGAGTTTGTATTAATTACTCTCGTCTTTTAATATAATACTCAGGTGTAATGAAAGAACTTGTAGTCCTAAAACTTATATTTAAAATGTACTGGCTGGGCACGGTGGCTCACGCTTGTAATCCCAGCACTTTGGGAGGCCGAGGCCAGTGGATCACCTGAGGTCAGGAGTTCAGGACCAGCCTGGCCAACATAGTGAAACCCCATCTCTTTAAAAAAAAAAAAAAAAGAAAGAAAGAAAAAGTACTCTTCCTGGAAGATGGGCTCTTTAAAATAAATAAAAATAAAGAAATAAAAAGTACATGTAGGCCAGGCACAGTGATCTATGCTTATAATCCCAGCACTTTAGAAGGCTGAGGCAAGAGGACCACTTGAAGTCAGGAGTTTAAGATCAGCCTGGGCAACATGGCAAGACCTCATCTCTATAAAAAATTAGCCAGGCATGGTGGCACGTGATGGTCGTCCCAGCTACTTGGGAAGCTGAGGTGGATGGATTGCTCGAGACTGGGAGTTTGAGGCTGCAGTAAGCCATGAACATGCCATTGCACTCTAGCCTGGGCGACAGAGCAAGATCCTGTATCAAAAAATAAAGTACATTGTAAATTGTTACTTTAGATTGTCCTTTGATATCTTTGTCTATCAACCCACCATTTCTCCTGGTCTTTCACCAAAAGATTGAGAATAGAAAAATAGTCCCTTTTGTCCGGGTGTGGTGGCTCACACCTGTAATCCCAGCACTTTGGGAGGCCAAGGCAGGCAGATCACGAAGTCAAGAGTTCGAGACCAGCCTGGCCAATGTAGTGAAACCCCATCTCTACTAAGAATACAAAAATTAGCTGGGTGTGGTGGCACATGACTCTAATCCCAGCTACGTAGGAGGCTGAGGCAGGAGAATTGCTTGAACCCGGGAGGCGGAAGTTGCAGTGAGCTGTGATCACACCACTGTAGTCCAGCCTAGGTGACACAGCAAGACTCTGTCTCGAATGAAAAAAAGAAAAACAGTCACTTATATTTATGAAAGAAGAGTTTAAGTTGCCTGAAAAGAAATAAAATTCAAAATGGATATGTATGCTTTTTTTTTTTTTTCACTCTCCCCATGTAACACAGTTTCTGTTACATAAATCCAAATGTCTTTCTAACTGTGAAATATGTAATCATTACTCATAGACATCTTTTGAACCACGGGGAAAGAATGTATGGAAGCCAAACCGAAACCTATTTTTAGGGAACCCACAGCAAGTAAACCCACTACCTAATCCCAGCTGTTTATTTCATAATTTCTGTATATAGTACTTATCCCTTGTACATGTGTACACAAGCCTTTTTTATGTCTGTTTCCCAAGAGACATAAAAAAGAGTCCCAAGTGCCTTCAGAGTGGCAGTGGCTCTTTCTAATCGGCAGTGTTTCAGGCCAGCTCTAACCAGAAAAGCCTTTATGCTTCCCTAGTTGATAATCTGTCTGGCTTGAGGTTATCAGACTAGGAGATTTGATTCTGTTCTTCTGTTAGGCTCCCTCCTCTCTCCAGGTTATGTCAGGAATTAGAATAGAAACAACCCCAGCCACCATTTTTCAGGGTATCTGTGGCTGAAGTAGGACAGCTTTCTCCCTCCCTTCAACAGATTCAGTCCATATCAGTGATCTCATTTCATCAGATCCCCTCCTCCTTTTCTATAGCCTGAACAAAAATAGCAATATGTGTTTTCTTATATTTAGACAAAACATAACATAGTCTATTTGTCTATGTTTGTATTGTCTTTATACTGAATTTCTAATAGATACTGGCCAGGTCTTTTCTCTAGATTAACATTGATGCAGTGCCTATCATTTGCACACATACACTTAATCATATTTCCTGTTGATTTTCTCCTTCAGAATCAGAGAATGCAGAGTGGTCCTGGTTGAAGGTAAAGCCAGAGGCTGTGCCTATCCAGCTCCTTACTTGGATGAATATGGAGAAACAGACCCCGGCCTGAAGTAAGATTTTCTTATAATAGGAAGATTTTGATAATTTCCCTTTTATATTGTTTGTTTTCTATTTTAGTCATATTATTGTATATAAATGGTGATAGTTCTTTAATCACAAAAGGTAATTGAGGCCACACGTGATGGCTTATACCTGTATTCTCAGCACTTTGAAAGGCCGAGGCAGGCAGATCATTTCAGGCCAGGAGTTTGATACCAGCCTGGCCAACATGGCGAAAACCCATCTCTACTAAAAATACAAAAATTAGCTGGGCATGGTGGCGCACTCATGTAATCCATGCTACTCTGGAGGCTGAGGCAGGAGAATCACCTGAACTTAGGAGGTTGCAGTGAGCCAAGATCACGCTACTGCACTCCAGCCTGGGCGACCCAGGGAGATTCTGTCTTCAAAAAAAAAATAAAATAAGCCGGGCGTGGTGGCTCACGCCTGTAATCCCAGCACTTTGGGAGGCCGAGGCAGGTGGATCACGAGGTCAAGAGATCGAGACCATCCTGGTCAACATGGTGAAACCCCGTCTCTACTAAAAATACAAAAAATTAGCTGGGCATGGTGGCGTGTGCCTGTAATCCCAGCTACTCAGGAGGCTGAGGCAGGAGAATTGCCTGAACCCAGGAGGCGGAGGTTGCGGTGAGCCGAGATGGCGCCATTGCACTCCAGCCTGGGTAACAAGAGCGAAACTCCGTCCCAAAAAAAAAACAAAACAAAACAAAAAAATAATAATAATAAAAAAATAAAATAAAATAATTGAGAGCCATTTTTTATTTACTTATTTTCGGAGACAGAGTCTCCCTTTGTCACCCAGGCTGGAGTATAGTGGTGCTATCTCAGCTCACTGCAACCTCCACCTCCCAAGTTCAAGTGATTCTCCTGCCTTAGCCCCCTGAGTAGATGGGACTATAGGTATGTGCCACCACACCTGACTGATTTTTGTATTTTTAGTAGAGACTGGGTTTCAACGTGTTGGTCAGACTAGTCTGGAACTCCTGACCTCAAGTAATCCACCCACCTCAGCCTCCAAAAGTGCTAGGATTACTGGCATGAGGCACCACGCCTGGCCAAGAACTACTTTTTAAATAGCTTCAAATTTAAAATATTAAATGTAATGACATTCTTTAGCATGTAATTTTCAACAACTTTGTGCCTCTCCAAAATTTGAAGGTAATATTTCTCCAAAATTTTTAAAGACACCAGCCATCCTAATGTTTCAGTGTTCTATTATTTTAATCAACCTTTCTTCAGAATTCCTTAAACGGATTGACACTGATAGTGTAAATTTGTAGTGTCCAGTGATGATGTTTGGTTTAGAGATATTGTTTCCATTGCAATACTTCAAACTTTTTTTTTTTTTAGTTGGAGTCTCACTCTGTCACCCAGGTTGGAGTGCAGTGGCACAAACTCAGCTCACTACAACTTCTGCCTCCAGGGTTTAAGTGATTCTCCTGCCTCAGCCTCCCAAGCAGCTGAGACGACAAGCAGGTGCCACCACACCTGGCTAATTTTTTGTGTGTTTTTAGTAGAGACGGGGTTTCACCATGTTGGCCAGACTGGTGTCAAACTCCTGACCTCAGGTGATCTGCCCACCTTGGCCTCCCAAAGTGCTGGGATTACAGGCATGAGCCACCGCGCCCAGGTGAAACTTGTTATTAGCCAGCTATATCAGTTTTCTTTCCTTCTGAGCATTAGCAAAATGTTTAGAACCCTGAACTTTTCTGTATCCTTCCCTGGTCGTAGGAACTGGGGTTCTACTGATGGTTTCTGAAAATGAAGAAACTGACAATGGTCCCAAAAGTACATATAGATAAAGATTAGACCTCCTTACAATAAACTCTTTTTGTTTCACTGAAATTTTGTTCCTTTGACATATTGCTCAGAGTGAATAGGCTTATTAGATGGGGTTTGGGACCTCAGATCATGCGGAGCTTTGTTTTTATTGGGATAGCATTTGACCTGTCTTTAGGTTTAGGGAGAAAAGCTGAGTGGTGAAAGTTAATGACTGAGAATGATCTTAGCTGTTCCACAAGGGTACAAAGCAGAGTTTTAAAATTAATTTGGCAGTTTTAAAATTCCCAACCTGCTGAGGCACTTGAATGCCTCAAGGAATGAGGATCTCATAGTCCTCCATTATTGGCAACAGCCAGACTTAAGTCATTTTTGGATTAGCTGTTATACAGTGTTAAAAACTGTGCAACTCTAGAATTGAAGTATAGTTATTTTATTTAAATATTTGCTAATTATTTGCTAATAACCATCCAATTTGTCATAAGGACAGTTACAACCAAATATATCTGAGTAGAAAATATAATTTTAGGGCCTAGTGTTATGCATCAGACCTAAAGTCTGCTGCACAAAGATCATAAATTGAAGCTAGATAACAATGTGAAGTCAAAAAGCTATTCAGGCCAGCCACCAAAAAAGAATAGTGCTGCTTCAAGTTATAAACCTATTTAAATGAGGTCCCATAGTGTCATAGTATACTTGACCTATTTTATGAATAGTCAAGGGGTACATTTCTGCTTTATTAGCTAAGTAACCTGTCAAGTTCTTAGTGATCAGTGGTAAAGGGAAAATACCCTTTTTTAAGCCCTGTGCTAGGGAATTCTCCCAGCTCCTAGAACATCTCAAGAGTGCATATGAATTTAGACAGTAAAGATGTGTCCAATTACTAGATTCAAACTTACTTGTTGTTTTTTCTTTTTTCCCTATAGGAGGGGCAATCCCCTTCATTTATCTCGTGAGCGGTATCGGAAGCTCCATTTGGTATGGCAACAACACTGCATTATAGAAGAGATTGCTAGGAGCCAAGAGACTAATCAGATGTTATTTGGATTCAACTGGCAGTTACTGTAAGCTCCAACTCTGCCTCAAGATAATCACAAATGATGACAGTAATAAAGACTGATTGAAAATTATGGAAAACTTTTCTGAGGGCTGGGGAAGTATTGAGGGTCTTTTGCTCCATGTCCAGATTCACTTACATCAATAAAATACTCCTTAATGGAGTATTGCTTTCAATTAGCAAACATATGCTTCAAGGGAAAAAAAGGACATAGATTAATCTATTTTGTGTTCTAGAATGTGAAAGAAATGCTTGTTCACCCCAAGGGTCTGATTCTGCTAGTATTTCCAGGAAATTTATTCCCCTTCATAATTTGTCTCATTTCATTTCATCCACTTGGTAGATGAAATCACATCAAACAATTGTGGACGTTTTTATATGTTGGTTAACTTTTCTGCAATTTTGGATTTGGTATTTTCCCCTCAGGTTCAGCTAACATTGGATCGCTGACAAGATTCTAATAATCTGTGATAGTCTTCCTTGCAAGACTAAGGAGAATTGCAGAAACCATACAATATACTTGAATTGAGAAAGATTCCAAAAATATATTTTTTATTATTTCTCTTTTGAGGAAATACCCTTAATGTGCCACCTGCTGCTGTCACCACAAATTAAACTAAATCTCTATATGGACAGAGTATGATTTCTGCCAATGTGGATTTGTTATTCATTCCTGATGGTAAAAAGAGCTTGCAGTTCTCACCTCTAACTACAAGTAGCTTTGTTGAGTTTTGAAATACTACTTGACATTTTCCAAAGGCAAATCTCATTCTACAAGGAGATTGTGGCTCCATCCTATTTGACTCTAAGAAACCTCTTGTAATTCTGATGTAAACTATTTGTAGAATGAAGATAAGAAAATTCTCCCAATAAGTGGATCATGACAACTGTAATTTAGAACAGTCAGATTTAAGCCAATTCCAAAATCCTCTACATCTTTGTAAAAGACAAATCCTTGATGTTGTCTGTGTGCAACCTTTTCATAAACTTTGGTTTTATGACTAGTACGAACCACCAAAAAAAGCCATGTGATCAGTAATCTGTGTCTTGGTACAACATGCTGCAGTTGAGCTATCTTGTTTATAAATAATAGAGCTCTCCTGAATCTGTGCATAGACTTCTTGGTTCATGGCTTTAGTTTTTTGTTTCAAGAAATTGTGACATAAAACAGCAGACAGAAGATAAATGGAAACCTTCCGTTTTAACTTGTGTTGTTTCTGGGGTAATGTTAGAAGCTTGAAAGATACATTTAAACACTGTATCTTATTTTGCCCTTGATTACTAGTGTCTTATATATGTGTGTAAATGTTTTCCTACCTTCTTTTTGCTCAGCAAAGACAAGCAAGTAAAAATATATTTGCTAAGTGATTAGTGATGCACATTTGGGGCTATATATATATTTTTTTTTTGGTACTTTTATGTAACAAAAAGTGGATTTTGCAGTAAGGGATTGGCATGAGCAGGTGTCAGAATCACAATCAGATTTCCTACTTGAATAATTATAGTTCAGAAGGTATCACGATAGATAGATACATCTCTAGTGAACAGTTTGTAACAATAACAGGTAAGGATCAGGAAATTCAGTTATTTGTCAGATTTGCCAGAATGATTAAATAATTTGAACATTTGTGTTTGTTTCTTATGTAATTTTATTGAGTGGATTGTTTGGGAAATCTGGGCTGGAATAGGAAACAGAAGATACTGACTTCTGCCCTAATTGATTGGCCCCATTTTAGCAAAGATAAACTGACTTTATTTTTAGTCTTTTTTATATTCACTTAATAAATTCTGGAGTTAAGCTCTCAAAGAGGTCAGAGGGACTATCTGGCAATAGCCAGCCAGACCTTTACTGCCAAAGAACCCATTTCATCTTGCTTTCTACTGATTGAGATTTTTCTGATTTTTGCACTGTAGATGAGCATATGTCTCAGTGCTGCCCCAAGCCCAAGGGATTTCTCATTATGTTCAAATGTCCTATGATTTACCTTAATCATTGCAAACAGTTATGCTTATGAAGTTTACTTACAAACAAGCAACTGAGTCACTTTATTTCTTTAGCGTAGTATGTGAAGGCACTGGTTCAACAGGATGGCTCCAAAACTGTGTTTTTCTAATGTTTGGTGAGGGGCTGGCAAGAATTTTAATGATATGGTGAAAAATATATCTGTATAATTAATTTATTATATTGATGTATGGGCTGTGAGTTCACCTTTTAGTGGTCATTTGTTGTTTCATAACAACTATGCATTTTGGTTCACTGTGATGATGATCTATATTTAGTGACTGCAACATGTTTATACCACTGATTCAAATTCCATCCATGATGAAGTTATACAAATAATGCATATATTGATAACTTTTATTGCAAAAATGTAAATTTAAAACTTGTATAATGTTCTTGTGCTTTTTAAAATAAAATATCTTATATGTGTATATTTAAAAAGAAAAAAAGGGACTTCTCATGTTTGGGGATTTGGGTTTGAAGTATAAAAATTCTATGCCTAGGAGGGCTCTCTAGTTGGAATCTTTGTCAGCCCAGGCAAATGTTTTAAAAAAAGTAAGTGTTTAGTTTACATGGGTCTCCAAACTTTTTAACCATATACTTCATAGGTAGTTTTTAAGCATACATACCAAATAAATATACATGTACATATATTTTATATTCTGTCTATGCAGTGCTTTAGTAATACATTATGCAAATTATAAAACATAGCTTTAAAAAGGAGATTTAAAAATCAGTTAAAAATAGAAGTATATATTTAAATATCTTCCAATCCAAACTGCGTCCTTTTGGGTATGCACACCCCAATATGGAGACAGCTGTCTAGAGCAGCACTATCCAGAAGAGTTTGGAAATTATAGAAATGTTTTGTGTGTATTTACAATACAGAATGGCAGTCACTATTCTTATGTGGTTATTGAACATTTCAGATGTGGCCAGTGCAACTGAGGGCCTGAATTTAGTCGTGTGTGGCTGGTGGCTACCATATTGGGCAGAATATGTCTAGTGTGATGGTTCTCAAACTCAGTTGTGCATTAAAGTCACCTAGAGAGTGTTAACAAAATACAAATGCCCAGTTCTCACTCTAGATCTGGAATCATTCTTCTGGGATTGAGCCTTAAAATAAGCAGTGTGGTTTTCTTCCGTTTCTGAGCCATAATTCTTCACTTAAAATGCAGAGGTTGCTTTCTTTATAGCTTGGTGATTTTCAAACTAAGTGCCAAAGATTCTGGGAGAAACGTAGGCCTGAGAGGGGAAAGAATGCCAAAGCTGGATAGTTGTGATTTTTCATTTTGAGTTTCTGTGTAAGCTTTCATTTGAGAAAAGGGTACCTGGAATTAAAATATTAAAAGCAATTGCTTTAGTTTTAAACTTTAAAATATTCTATGAGGGGGCCAGGCTTGGTGGCTCACGCCTATAATCCCAGCACTTTGGGAGGCAGAGGTGGGTGGATCACGGGGTCAAGAAATCGAGACCATCCTGGGCAACATGGTGAAACCCCATCCCTACTAAAAATACAAAAATTAGCTGGCTGTGGTGATGCACACCTGTCGCCCAGCTACTTGGAAGGCTGAGGCAGGAGAATCTCTTGAACCTGGGAGACAGAAGTTGCAGTGAGCCGAGATCGCGCCATTGCGTTCCAGCCTGGCAACAGAGGGAGACTCCATCTCAAAAAAAAAAAAAAAAAAAAAGAATCTATGAGGGGCAACACTGAAGACAATGAAGGGTTTCTGTTTGTTTTTGTTTCTGTCTTTTGAGACAGTCTTGCTCTGTTGCCAGGCTGGAATGCAATGGCGCGATCTCGGCTCACTGCAACCTCTGTCTCCCAGGTTCAAGTGATCCTGCTGCCTCAGCCTCTTGAGTAGCTGGGACTACAGGCGCGTGACACCACGCCCAGCTAATTTTTGTATTTTTAGTAAAGACGGGGTTTCACCATGTTGGCCAGGATGGTCTCCTTCTCTTGACCCCGTGATCCACCCGTCCCCGCCTGCCAAAGTGCTGGAGTTACAGGCATGAGCCAACATGGCTGGCCAATGAAGGGCTTTTTTGAGGTGGGGAGATAAAAATATAAGACACTTGTAATTGGCATGGAGAGGTCACTAAGGGGTCTTCTTCATGCTTATTATAGCATGGTAACAGGCCACCACTAGGAAAAGCAGATCATACAATCAGGCAGATTGTTCACAGTTTGTATTAAAATTTAAAATTTGTGTACAACAATGGGCACCATTAATAACATTAAAAGATATTCAGAGTTAGGTATTAGCATCACATCAACGGCATAGTTTCTGGATCTCCCCAAAACTCTTCCAGAAAAACATACCAGCCAGGGTAACAAGAAACCCAAAGCTGGTATATTCAACAAAACTAGATAACAGAGTCTTTTGCACCCAAAAAACCTATTGACAGCAGGACTGTGCAGTGGCAGTGGTAGAAAGTGAAAGGGGATACTAAATATAAGTTACAGAACTGGAAAGTTGCTAACAACCTCCAAATGGAGGGGACCCCACTCAGGAGGAAATAGGGACCATCAGATGTGAGAATAATTACCAGCAAAACTAAGAGAAGTCCTCACGTGCATTAAATTTAGAGTGGTGGTTGAAAAAAGCTGCAATATTAAGGAAACCAGACAGTATGGTGGCCAACTAAATCTACATCCTTATAACCATTAACTACTGCCTTTGGCCGGGGGCAGTGGCTCACATCTGTAGTTTCTGCACTTTGGAAGGCTGAGGTGGGAGGATCGCTTGGAGCTCAGGAGTTTGAGACCAGCCTGGGCAAAGTGGGGAAACCTTGTCTCCAGTTAAAATTTTAAAAACTAGTCTTTTGTGGTGGAGTGTGCCCGTATTCCCAGCTACTCAGGAGGCTGAAGTGGGAGGATTGCTTGAGTCTGGGAGGTGAAGACTCATTAGCCAAGATCTCACCACTGCACTCCAGCTTGGGCAACAGAGTGAGACCCTGTCTCAAACAAAAAACTGGCTTCGTTAAGGAAAGAGCCTCACCCTGTGGAAAACTGCTACAAACAAACCAAATTAAAAATAATAGGAATACTGAGGGTTATAAAGTTTAGATTGTGTGCATGGGTGCTAAGTACTATATTGGCAAAATGCAGCACTTAAAGATGCAAGTACAAGAGATTAGTATGAGTACTTGACATTAACAACAGGGGTAGGAAGCCTGGAGCTGTGACACAAAGCAAGCTTTCTTGTCCCACCCCTGCCCATTTGATGGACACCTCCTCCTAATGCCCCAGAAAATTAATCTCATTTAAATGAGGAGAACAAAAAAGAAATATAACCTAGCCTCAAAGTTACTAAAATAAGAGAAAAATGAATAAAGTTGCAACCACTGATGAGAATACAGTAGAGAACTGTGGCCTCAAGACAGACAAAACCTGTAACCTGATATTACACAATTAGTTAGAAAAAGATGAGGACATACAATCAAAGCTTTGACAGAAGAACACAACTCAGAAGTGTAACAGATCTCTAAAATGATACGGCAAGAAAATAGGAGGATGGGAAACTCAAGTGAGATTTGGGGAAAAAATAGAAATTAAGACTAAGAAGGAATACAAAAATGAAAAGTTAGCAATGGAAAGCACAGTAAGGAAAGGATGGAAAGACCTGGGCATGGTGCTGGGCACCTGTAGTCCCAGCTACTCGGGAAGCTGAGGTAGGAAGATCCCTTGAGAAGGAAGTCAAGATTGCAGTGAGATGACGTCACTCCACTGCTCTCCAGCCTGGGTGACAGAGTGACACCCTGTCTCAAGAAAAAAAAAAAAAAGGCAGAGTAGGGAAGGAGAAAAAAGGACTTAAGATAAAGTGAAAGATAAACAAAGAAGATTTGATATATATTAACTGGAGTCCCTGAGGAAAGAAAAAGCAATGGAACAGAACACAAATGGAAAACTATAATTAGATAAACCTTTCTTGGGAAAAAAAAAAAAAAAAACTTGAATACATTTTGAAAGAGAACATTGTAAAAACCTGGAGGAGCCAACACTAGGGCATATTCTAGTAAAGCTATTGGATTTTAAAAATAAAATAGACAAAATCATTTGAACATTCAAGAAAAAAATCCAGATCACTTTTAAAGATTGTCATTAGACTTCTTGGCAGCAACATTTTTACGTTAATGAAAGGATTTTCACATCCAGACAAACTGTCCCAAGTATAAAGTCCACACAGCTAGTAAAGAGCATGCAAATATTCAGATAATATTTTTTCCCATGAGCCTTTCCTAAGATATTTACCAGTGAGCAAGCTTCAGACAATCATAAATGATTATAGAAGCCTTGGCGGAAGGTCTGGGAGTGAGTGTTGCACATGTTTAATTGTACAGATCGGGGGATGAGAGACAAAAATCGGATGCTTTGGCCGGGTGTGGTACCTCATGCCTGTAATCCAGAGCACTTTGGAGGTCAAGGCAGGCAGATCACCTGAGGTCGGGAGTTCAAGACCAGCCTGACCAACATGGTGAAACCCCGTCTTAAAAAAAAAAAAAATTGGATGCTCCAATGATGTAGAATTATTACAGCTAACAAAAAAATAGGAGAAAAAGAGCAAGTGGGTAGAAAGTTAAACAAGCTCACTGATTACATCAGTGGTTTTAGCCAGAAGTAAAAAGGCATCAAGCAGGAACCCGCATCCAGGAAAAAGCCCTTTGCTCCTCCCTCAGAATGAATGGACACCAGAAATCAGAGGTTTATGCTCAAGAAAAGCAGGATTTCATACAGCACTTCTCCCAGATTGTTATGGTGCTGACTGAGGATGAGATAGGGTACCCAGAGACAGGAGATGCTATCGCCCGGCTCAAGGAGGTCCTGGAGTACAGTGCCATTGGAGGCAAGTATGACTGTGGTTTGACAGTGCTAGTAGCATCCCAGGAGCTGGTGGAGCTGAGGAAACAGGATGCTGATAGTCTCCAGCGGCCCTGACTGTGGCTGGTGTGTGGAACTGCTGTAAGCTTTCTTCCTGGTGGCAGATGACATCATGGATTCATCCCTTACCCACCAGGGACAGATCTGCTGGCATCAGAAGCTGGGTGTGAGTTTGGATGCCATCAATGATGCTCTGCTTCTGCAAGCATGTATCTACCGCCTGCTGAAGCTCTATTGCCAGGAGCAGCTCTATTACCTGAATCTGACTGAGCTCTTTCTGCAGAGTTCCTATCAGACTGAGATTGGGCAGACCCTGGACCTCATCACAAACCCCCAAGGCAATGCAGATCTTGGCAGATTCACTGAAAAGAGGTACAAATCTATTGTCAGGCACAAAACAGGTTTCTACTCCTACCTTCCTATAGCTGCAGCCATGTACATGGCAGGAATTGATGGTGAGAAGGAGCACCCCAATGCCAAGAAGATCTTGCTGGAGATGGAGGAGTTCTTTCAGATTCAGGATGATTACCTTGACCTCTTTGGGAACCCCTGTGTGACCGGCAAAGTTGGCACTGACATCCAGGACAACAAATGCAGCTGGCTAGTGGTTCAGTGTCTGCGACGGACCACTCCAGAACAGTACCAGATCCTGAAGGAGAATTACAGGCAGAAGGAAGCCAAGAAGGTGGCCCAGGTGAAGGGACTATATGAGGAGCTGGATCTGCTGGCCGTGTTCTTGGAGTATGAGGAAGACAGTTACAACCCCATTATGGGTC